CCAACTTGAACATTTCAAGCTGGTGATGCAGCTGGAATGCTCCCAAACGTCGGACGCAACTATGCCAAGTCTCCAATTCTAACTTCAGTAATTACCCGTTGCCTGTTCAGCATATTGCCCCAAAAACATAGATCTGTTCAAATGCCTGACCTACACAACTACCATTGTCGATGGAATGCCTAAAAAGAGCAAAGATCGGAGTTGGACAGTAACTCGTGATAAGAAAGACCAACAGTCACCGTGACAATACTTAATGATAAAAAATCGCGAACGAAGCTATGCATTTGACGATGGTACATTGCTCAGGAACAGCGTTACCCAAAACTGTGTATCATGATCTACTAACTTAAAATACGGAGCAACCTCACATAGTTGTGCCAACCTCACATTGGACGATCTTAAATAAACGACCGTTTGTAGAGATTTTTAAAAAAAAGAACTTTGATACACATTGGTCATTTTTGTTTCATCATCGCGTTCCTTCTCGCTACTGATGCTATTGGCAACTTCTCCATTCTTCTTTATTTTGAGCTTCTCTCATCCACATAATTCTATCGAGCCATTTAAACAGATCCTTCCACCGCACAATGACCTTGTTCACGTTTTTTCGACACTACTCCCGCTTATGCAAACAATCAAATTCCATTAACTGGATGATTCGTACGTGTGACAAAACTTTAACCAACTATAACAGGCACAAAGGTTTGGGCAATCGGGTACGAAACAGAGCTACGCTAAGTCTTAGTAATTTTGGTTAGCCAGGAACCCAGATTACCCAGGATTGTGTTGTAATTCCAACTTTTATACCTGAAACCACTACCCGTAAGAAATTGAATATGTGCCGTTCTGAAGCACTTCGGGAGTCTCGTATTTCCCGAAATAATTCAACAAAAGGAAAAATTAAGACGTGCCTGGATCATCAACACAGGTTGACCATCTGGCGAAGCAGCACTGGACAAAGCAACTAAAAAAAATTACCAGTTGCATACTTGGAGCACCGAGCTAAAAATTAGCAACTCATGCAAGTAATCAAGCACCCTTCAAGATCTGATTGTTTCGAAGTTTACCGTCGGCAGTTTCTCCTCCAAAAAAATTTTTTTTTGCAGTCGTGGAACCCTTCGACCACCGTTCGCCAGATTCTGCTCAGTATTCAGGACTTACTTCACAATCCAAATACCGAAAACCCGGTTCATGCTAATGCGTATCGAATTTATTGCGAAGACAGGTAAAGTCCATTGGCAAAATTCTTTTAAGAGAGGAGTTCAAAATTACAAGTCTGTGTTTCGGAATCCAGAAAAAAAGAGGTCGAATTTTCACTGTCGCGTTTTTTCCCTCCGTTAATGCAGCTGGCAACTGTTGTGCGCGATTTGATTTATTCATTTCTTCCAACTTTCTAATTTTAGTTTTTTCACCTGCATTTTTTGATTTTTTGACAACTTTTTCCCGAGCATTTTTAGATGTTTTTTTTTTCTGTTTTTCTCTTTCTCGTCTCTCATATTCAAAATAATTCCATCATACCACTGTTCAAGCGAATCCTTCCACCACATAGGTAGCGCCTCCTGTGCGCAAATTGACTTATTCTTTTTTCCTCCTTCCTAATTTTTGCGCTTTTTTACCTGCCTTTTTTTGAGTTTTTGGTTATTTTCCTCAAACATTGTTTTTTAGCACTGCATAAACATTAATTAGTTTTTCTTGTTTATTGGTGTAGAGTAAAAAAAAAATGAATAATTACTCGTAAACTGCAGAACGGAGTACGATAAAAAGGTTCAGGCGCAAGTTCGACTGGATAGCTGGGAAGATGCGTATATTGAACCAACAAAGCATCGCTGTATGTGAAATCAATTATTCTTGCCCGGAACTAATCTACAGGGATATGATTGCGTGAACTGAATTTATATCAGAACTCAAAACAGCTGAAATACTGAATCTGATTTTATTCTTTGTATTTTACTGTGCAATCCTAGCTTTTTTTTCTTGTCGGCATTTCTTAAGTCTTTTCTGCGTTTTCCAATTGATGAGGGGTGCGTTATTGTGGATTTTAATTTTTCCACTGAGACTATTCGGGAATTTTCGCACTGCTTTTAAGCCGAATTCCGTCTAGAAGCATGGGAATAACATTACTGTAGAATATACTGTACTACTGTGCGATTACCGTTCCCGAATGGGAGTAACGCTATTGTAAGCGTTACTGTATCCCTGTAACATTAGTGTATTTCCTGATGGGAATAGCTTTACTGCGTTCACATAATGACGACATGCCAAATAATGATTATCAAAACCTTATAAAACGGACTATGCGTGAGCATTCTTATTTTTTTCTTATTTTTTAATTTCAACTTTTTTACCTAAGTACTTCGATTTTTTGACAAATTTTCCCCAAGCACTTCTATGTGCCAATTTTTCCTTGATTTTTGTAAGGCTTCAACAAAAGCACAAAAAGCATTT